GTGGCGCAGGCTGAAAATGTCGCTGCTGAATCCATGCTGTGATTTGATGGCCTTGACTATTCTTTATTTTCTTAAACGTATGTCCTATTGCAGGATCTTGATTTCTCACCCATTTGAACCCAGCGAATGGGTTTTGGTACGCCTTAAGTTTAGTTTTAGACTCAGAGAACGTCTTCCAGTGTCTGTAATCTTTTGCGTTAGACGTAGTCATGAACGCTTTAAGTTTTGCTTTCCTGGTGGCTGTGCGATTTGGTCTAGATCCAGTGACCTGTTGAGTGTTTGTTCCTTGTTGAAGAAGTTTTCTGTTGGGTATAATGGATGCGGTATTATTTTTGTGTTGGGATAAGGAGCTATTTAAGTTATTTGAGAGGAAACCGGATGTATTCAACGCCTTTGCATTCGAAGTATATGAAACATCCTTTTCTGGTGGGTTCTTCGCTATGTCTACAGCTGCATTATTTGTCTTCCGTTTTGGATACATCATTAGTGTGAAGGGACAAATAATGTTCCCGCATATTAATTTTTCAGTTGGCGTTGACGATTGTGGTTCAACTGAGAGTGTTGGCTTTTCAAACCAGAATTGGTTGAGGGTAGAGCGTCGTCAAGACTTTTTACGGGGAGTTTATTTTGAGATTCACTGACATTATTTTTTCCAGCAATGTATTTGTGTTCATACGGAGTTGCGGTCGTTTGGTTTGTCTGAAGTTACACGTTCAAGGAGTTGGTAGAGAGTTTGCTAATTGGCACGTGGCCCATCTGCTCTATTAGATGAAAGTAATTTTTTTCCTGGTCGTCCTTCTTTGTTGTGTTTTGTTTCAATAGTATTGGCCAACATCTTAGAACAAGATGCGAGGTTTGCAGTCTCGGCTTGATGAAGTGTTATTGGATTAAAATAATCTTTTTCTTTCTCTTCTTTTCCATTGTTTCCCAAATTATTCATAATTGCCCTTGTAGGTCTGCTGCTACCAGGAGAGTCTTGAGTGCCGTTAATAACTTGTTGGATACCTTGGTTTTTCGGTGAGGATTCTAACTGACTTGTCCCGGGTTGCCGTATCTCATTAGAAGTGGTATATGTTCTTGCAAGCTTTCCAAGCAAAATCTGAAGCGCTTTCATTGTTTGAACGGGAAACGTTTCAACCTGCA